GCACATGTCGCCTAGCTGGTCGCAGAGCGTCGCACGACTCACCGCTATGCGACAGCATGCTGCAGAGCTTGGCGTACGACGACAGCTTCACGTCCAGGTCGCCCTCCAGCTTCCGCGCCTCGCGCCGCAGCTCCTCCCACGGCGCGCCCGAGTCGTCCGCGGCCATCCTCCCTCGCCGTTTCAGACAGCGTGTTCGTCGTCCGGGATCGACAAGCTCGATGCTCGAAAGGCTCGACGGGTTTGACGTTCGGGTTCGACGTTCGGTTTCGACGTTCGGTTTCGACGTTCGGTTTCTACGTTCGGTTTCGACGCCCAGGTTCAACGTCCGGATTCGATCGCAGCAGGCCGGTCAGCAGGTCATGCTTCCTCGTACAGACCTACGGCAGTGCCGCTTACAGCATTTATGTCTCTAGAGATACTGGAACGGCTCTTCGTACTGTGCTACAGAAAGTATCGCACGCGGTTCCACGTAGAGTGATTCGAAAGCGGTTTTTGGAGAATATAAACCAATTCCTGCACTGCTGAAGGCACCAAGAGCGCGGAATAAGGTAAAGTAGACTCAGAATACTGGAAGACGCTTTAAACAGAATATATCATCCATCTGATGTAATGACCCCTTAGCCGAGGACGCGTGTGTTCCGCAGTAAGAATCTGATTCACTGACTAGCCAGGGCGACAGGATAGCAAACCTGCATATAGTGATGTTTACTATCGCACATCGTGGTTTCAGATTTTTTTCTAACCGAATTTGCCGCAGGCACGCAACTTCCAGAGGGACATAAGACTAGAACGTGATTTGCCTCTCTCGTCTCGGCTCATCGACATTACCCATAACATGAATTTAGGGATCTAGTATCTCACTTGGAATACTCTGGAATCTGACCAATGGTTGCTATGGGACTGACAAGAAACCAGACGGTTAGCACAGACTTGTCAAACGGTACAGTGAGATGCTTTGCGTCGCAAAACGGCGGAGTATGGCTTCAATAGGAAAGTATCCCGCACGTATCTGGTATAAGGGCGGGGCCAGCGCGTTCATTTTAGTCAATGGTACAGTTCGTCCTGAGCGGTTACTCTCGTGTCGTCACGGTCTGAAACGGTAGATCGAGAAAACCGCTGTTAACCAATTGGAATCTTTCTGCACAACGAGTAATGAATTGTAAAAACGTGAAAAACGAACGCGCTGGCCCCGCACTAATCGGTGTGATTCGGCTGGGGTTCGACGGAGCCAGAAAGTCAGGTTTGGAGTCTACGCGAACGTCTTGGTAACCCTACAGTTTGCCGTCGCGACTTCCTCGCTGGGCCGATCGAGGCCCCCTCGAACATGTCGGTAACTGTGTATGGAGCGTAGTAACCCAGCATCTCTCGACTTCGCTTTCGTGAACACAGACACGAAGGGTTTCACAGGTACAGAAGTTCAGGCGAAATGTTTGCAAACGCAAAAGTGATTTCGCTATCCCGTGATTCGCAGATAAGTTATGCGTCCTGGTCGACTTTCAAACCACACAAAACCAAATTCCCATAAGTGCCGAACTATCAGGGCGACCCTATAAAAGCCCGCATTGCAACACGATTGGAGGGTTTAGATAAAGGCTTAGAACACACTCTTCTACAGGGGTGAGAAAAAAGGCTCAGGAACGCCATTCCTTACAGCGGGGTGGAAAACAAGGTGGCATTGGCGTTAGGGCGCGCAGCGGGATGAGGAGCGCGGGGTCGACAGGAAAGGGCGGTAGGGCCAAGTCCAACTGGCCCGACACTCCCACCGCATTTCAAAGTCTAGCGCCTCGGAAACGCAACGAGGCACGTGTACTTCTTACCGCCATCGCCGCCGCTGCTGCTCCTGCGTCGGCAAGCGCCGCCGCCGCCGCCGCCGCCCCCTGCTGCCGTCCCCGTTATCCTCCGCCAGACCATCTCCCGTTTTTCCGCTCCGCAACCCATCCCCACCCTTCCCGCGCGCGTTCATTTTCTTCCCGGCATTGCCGTGCTCTTCAATCCTCACCCCTGTCTCTCCATACCTCCCCCTTCCCCGTTCCCACCCGCGTTCCCCTCTCCGCCCGTCCACCCATTCCCGCTCCCTCCCCGTTCCCCCCCGCCCAGCCTTCCCCCTTCTCCCCCTGGCTCGCGCGCGCGCTGCTGTTCCTCCCCGGGCTCGCCACGGGCTTCATTCTCGGCCGCCTGCTGGGGGGAAGCGGGGGAAGCGGGGGAAGCGGGGGAAGCGGGGGAGGCGGAAAGGGCGCAGGGGGGAAGAAGGGGGGGCTGACTGCAGGGGGCGGGGGAAGCAGTAGCGGACGGAAGGGGGGTGGGGGCAGCGCGGGGGGGAGGGCGGCGCCAGTGTTTGGGGGGAAGGCGGAGACGGAGGGGGTGGGGGAGCTGGTGGTGGGGCGGGGGAGTGAGTTGAAAATGGTGCTGGTGGTGCGGCAAGATTTGAAAATGGGCGCAGGGAAGATCGCAGCTCAATGCGCCCGTGAGTGATTATTGAGTTGACTAAAAAATGGTGGTGGGGGTGGGGGAGCGAGTTGAATATGGCCGTGGTGGTGGTGGGGCGGGGCAGTGAGCTCAAGATGGTGCTGGTGGTGCGGCAGGACTTGAAGATGGGCGCGGGGAAGATCGCCGCGCAGTGTGCCCGTGAGTGGGGGAGGGGGGGGTGGTGGTGGGGCGGGGGAGTGAGATAAAGGTGGTGCGGCAGGACTTGAAGATGGGCGCGGGGAAGATCGCCGCGCAGTGTGCCCGTGAGTGGGGGAGGGGGGGCTGGTGGTGGAGGGGAGTGGTGGTGGGGGGTGGTGGGGCGGGGGAGTGAGATAAAGGTGGTGCGGTAGGACTTGAAGACGGGCGCAGGGATGAGTGCCGCCCAGTGTGCCGTGTGAATGCCACCCAGCAAGCAAGTGTCTGCCTTATCCACGCTCTCTCCCTCACCTCCCCTTCGCCTCTCCCTCACCTCCCCTTCGCCTCTCCCTCACCTCCCCTTCGACTCTCCCTCACCTCCCCTTCGCCTCTCCCTCACCTCCCCTTCTCCTCTCCCTCACCTCCCCCTCGTCTCTCCCTCACGTTCCCACCTCGTCTTCCCCATCCCCACCTCACCGCCCCACCTCTTCTCACCGACCTCCAAACCAGGTGACTTTTGAGGCGACTCAATAGTCAACGCCCCCTCGTCTCTCCCTCCCTCCCTCACCTCTCCACCTCCCCTCCCCCGACCAGATGCAGCAGTGGGCATTCTCACCGAACTCCAAACCAGGTGCGCCTCTCTTATCCTCCTATCTCTCTCCCCCTTTCACAATCTAATCATTCTCCCCCCCCCCTTTCACAATCTAATCATTCTCTCTCCCCCTACACCATACTCAACATCCTGTTGATTGCAGTAGCAACACGTCCCTATCTCTCTCCTCCCATCTCCCTTTCCTTCCCCTTTTTCTTCCTCGCACCCCCCGCTCCTCTTCCCCTCATACTTCTTCCCTGCCTGCCTGCCTAACTGTGTGCCTACATGCGTGCGAGCAGCAATAAGGCGTTGCTGCGGCACTACGAGGCGTGTGGCCAGCCCAAGATAGTGGTCACCTGCAGCAACCTCAAGGAGATGTGAGTCTCTGCCATTGTAACGAGGTAACTTCTGAGTCGACAGAGTGCAACAAGTTTTGGAACATGCCCTGTAGTCTTTGTATTTGTTTTATTATTGTGTTACTTCCTTCGTGCTTGGTTTTGCTGTGCGCTCATCTCATGCATGTAGCATGCCACAGTATTCTCACCATGTCAGTGATATCACCGCTGTGCACCCCTGTGCGCCCCTGTGCACCACTGTGCACCACTGTGCGCCCCTGTGCACCACTGTGCGCCCCTGTGCACCACTGTGCAGGAACGAGTTGAGAGGGAAGGCGCAGCAGCACCGGTTGCCAGTTTTCACTGCCTGCGATGCTGGCAGGACTCAGGTGGGTCTCAGGTGTTTCTTCAGGTGATACTGGCAAGACTTAGTGACGCTTCAGTTAATACTTCAGGTAATGATTCAGGTGTTCAAGTGTTTCTTTTTTGGTCTCCTTCTGTTTCCAACCCATGCTCCCCTCCCATACTCCCACCCCCATGCTTTCCCTCCTATGCCCCGGCTTCAAACCCCCCGCCCTCAACAGGTGGCAGCAGGGTCCAAGACAGTGCTTGCCATTGGTCCAGGTCCGTGCCCTTCCCTTCCATTCTCCATGCTCACCCTCCCATGCTCCCCCCCACAATGCTCCACCTCCCATGCTTCCCCTCCCTGGTCCCAATCCCTCCCATTCTCAACAGGTGGCAGCAGGGTCCAAGACAGTGCTTGCCGTTGGTCCAGGTCCGCACTCACTCGCTTCTTTCCACCTACCCCTTCCACTCATACAAATAAAATCTTCTTGCCAAGATCGCCCCGTCCACTCTATCTTTCATAACCCTATTGCCTGTTTCATCGTCTCTCCCTTGTCCTTGTCCCCCACCTTGACCCTCCTGACCTGTACCGCACCCACCCCACCCACATGTCTCCTCATTGCAATGGACCGTGCAGGTCCCAAAGCATTGGTTGACTCAGTTACCGGCAATCAACGCTTGTTGTAAGCAGTATAGTGCAATGTAGTATAGTGTAGTGTGGTACCTTTCAGTACAGTAGTATGCAGCGAAGTGTCGTTTCTAGATTAGTGTAAGCATCGTATTTGCCAGCTTGACAAGAGTCAGACGATTCAGGGAACAGATAACTGGAAATCATATAATACAAGATAAGGAAAGCAAACAAACAAACTACAAGAAGAAAGTGTTCTTCCATCTGATACAGGTGTGCTGTTGTGTTCGTCAAGACTATGAGCACTGTGGAACACTGCAGGGGTTTGAGTCAGCTCAAAGGTACTGTATGAACAAAGGTGCAATGGTGCCAAGTCAACCAACTGCACAGATGTGCGATGTGTAGTAATTTTTGCCTGGTATGGTACCAGACTCTGTACTGCTGCCAAGGGGGCTCTGCTGCAGAGATGTGATCCAGTGGAGATACCTTGGCACTTTAGCTAAGTGCTGGAGCTGGAAAGGACAACGCCTGCCAGGAACGGCTGGTTGGAATCCTTGTTGAGCAACAGAACGTCCTGTGATTGGAACAGACAGGTCGAAAGGGGAAGAGGGGGTGGGGGTAAAGGTGTGGGGGGAGGGGGGAGGAGTGCTGGAGCTGGAAAGGACAACGCCTGCCAGGAACGGCTGGTTGGAATCCTTGTTGGGCGACAGAATGGCCTGCGGTTGCCGCAGAGGGGTTTGGAAGAAAGGGGAATTGGGGGGGGGGGAGAAAGGTATTAAGGGTAGGGGGGGGTTTGTGTAATGAATAGTGTAATGTGTAATGAATACATTGCAACCATGCACAATGTTCACTGTAGACACTCACTTCACTGCACACGGCAAGACTTACCAAGAGCAAATGGAAACACTAACAGAATTAGCGCCATTTGCCGCTGCAGCAGATTCTGAATCCACATTCACACGCATCTGCTCTTGCCGCTTCTGTTCTTGCTGCTGCATGTGCCTCAGTGGACATGGTAACACCTTACGTTCACACACACTTACCGAATTAGCAACATTCGCCTCTGCAGGAGCCTCTAAATCCTCATCCACACGCATCTGCTCTTGCTGCTGCTGCTGCAACTCTCTCTGCTGCTGCCGGCGCTGGTGCACGAGGCGGCAGCAGGTGAAGGAGACGGTGATGAGCACGATGGCAAGGGCTATGAGGAGGCAGACGGTGAAGAAGGAGGAACCCCACGTGGAGTCAGAGGGGGCGGGCTGCTGCTGGGTGCCTGTTGGTAGGGGAGGGGTCCCAGGACGAAAGGCAGGTTTAAGAGAGATAGAGAGAGAGCTATGAGGGCAAGCACTGGTGCTGCTGCATCTGCCTCTTGTGCTGCAAACCCCTCTTCTGCTGCTGCCGGCGCTGGTGCACGAGGCGGCAGCAGGTGAAGGAGACGGTGATGAGCACGATGGCAAGGGCTATGAGGAGGCAGACGGTGAAGAAGGAGGAACCCCACGTGGAGTCAGAGGGAGGGGGCTGCTGCTGGGTGCCTGTGAGGGAAGGGGCAGAGGAAGGTTGAGGGAGGTTGAGGGAGGTTGAGGGAGGTTGAGGGAGGTTGAGGGAGGCAGTGAGAGGGAGTGCCATGAGGTCGACAGTGAGGGCGATGAGCAGACAGACAATGAAGGATGAACCCCACGTGGTGTTGGCGGGGGAGGGTTGAGGGGGGGTTAGGTTGCCTGTGTGAGGAGGGGAAGGGAAAGGAGGGGAGGGGAGGGGAGGGGAGGGGAGGGGAGGGGAGGGGAGAGGCAGGTGAATGAAGGAAACAGCCATTAGCACAATGGCCAGGGCGATGAGGCGAAAGACGGTGAAGAAGGAGGGGGACCCCACGTGGTGTCAGAGGGAGGGGGCAGCTGTTGGGGCGCCTGTTTGGGGAGGGGAAAGGAAGAAAGGCAAGTGAGGGAGAGAGAGTGCTATGAGGCATGCATATGACAACCAGGTACAGTCGGCAGGCAAACGCAGGCAGGCAAACGCAGGCAGGCAAACGCAGGGACGTGAATGCAAGCAGCTGTGTAGGCTTACCAGCAGCAGCAGCAGCAGCAGGAGCAGCAGGAGCAGCAGGAGCAGTTTCCGGAGGGGGCGAGTAGAACTGAGCACACGTGGCAGCATCCAACTGGCCGTCAGCTGCAGCAGGCATGTCCGATGGGGAGGTTGCAGAGGTGAAGCAGTTGAAGAAATACCTGGGAATGGGGGAGAGAGAGAAAGGGGAGAGAGAGAAGGGAGAGAGAGGGGGGGAGAGAGAGGGGGGGAGAGAGAGAGAGGGGGGAGAGAGAGAAGGGGGAGGTGGAATTTGAACGGCAGGAGAGTGAGGTCGCAGGTAGTGCAGTGAACATGGGGAGGTCGCCGAGGTGAAGCAGTTGAACAAGTACCTGGGGGAAGGGGGGGAAGAGAGGGAGGACTGTTTGAGAAGGGGGGGATGGGACAGGGCACTAAGTTGGAGGCAGCTGAGAGAAACAGAGGGTCGCCTGAGAGCAACGGAGCGTCACCTGAAAGCAACAGAGGGTCGCCTGAGAGCAACGGAGCGTCACCTGAAAGCAACAGAGGGTCGCCTGAGAGCAACGGAGCGTCACCTGAAAGCAACTGAGCGTCACCTGAAAGCAACAGAGCGGCACCTGAGAGCAACAGAGCGGCACCTGAGAGAAACAGAGCGCCACCTGAGAGCAACAGAGCGGCACCTGAGAGCAAATGAGCGTCACCTGAGAGCCGAGCGTTACCTGAAGTCAGCCTGGCGTTCAGGCGGAGGCAGCGGCACCGAGCCGTTGAAGAAATTGTTTGAGATGTCACTGTGAGAAGGAGGGGAGGGAAGGAGAGGAGAGAGGGGGCAAGAAACACGTTGGGAGATGCCTCAAAAGGCACAAAGCTGTTGAGGAAGCTGTTCGAGATGTCACTGTGATGTGGGGACGGGTGAGGAGAGGAGATTAGAGGAGAACAAACAGGAAACCACTGGTGAGACGTTTGAAAAGGCACAAATTTGTAAACGAAGTTGCTTGAGATGTCCTGTGACTGTGAAGGGGGGAGGAGAGGTAGGAAGAGGAGAGGAGGGGATGGAAAGGAAAAGATGTTGTTGGAGATGTTGTATGTTGAGGGGAGCAGAGGAAAAGAGACTTGGACACATCCCAATGTGACAGTTATGCAAGGAATGGGACGAAGAGGCGAATGGAAGCTGTGTGAGGAAGCACAGGGCAGAGGGCAGAGGGCAGACGGCCATAACGCCTTACCACATGATGCCGTAACATGATAAGGATGCACGGCATGGCATGGCACTTAGTAGCATGGCATGGCATGGCATGTAGTGGCATGGCACAGCTAGGCATGGAACACACACGTCCGTGAGCAAGGAGGGGCGCCAGAGGTAAGCAGGCTGCGAGCCGGAGAGATTTTTGAGATTCTCACAAATCCCTCACAAGGCATGGCATGGCATGGCATGGCATGGTATGGTATGCAAAAACACTCACACATCAGTGAGCAGGGCGGGACGCCAGAGGTCATCAGGCAGCGGGCCGTAGAGGCGGTTGGAATGCAGATAGCTGTGTGGTGCGGCATGGGGGAATGGGGGGCATGGGAATGGGATGGGATGTGGTAGCACACGCAGCATGCATTGCAGCAAGAGCAGCAGGGCAGGACGCCAGAGGTCACCAGGCAACGGGTCGGAGAGGCGGTTGGAATGCAAATAGCTGTGTGGTGGGGCATGGGGGATTATGGGCCATGGGGATTGTATGGTATGGGATGGGATGGCATAGGATGCGTTTTCACCCACCCACTCCCCACCACTCTTTTCCTTCCTCCACACCTCTTCCTGTGGGACGGTTAGCAGTTGCGCGAGGAGCGGGGGGAAGGAGACTGCCACATCATAAAAGTCTAGTTAAAAAATGTCTTTAAAACAACACTTTTAATCAGGAAGGAAGGCAAGGAGCCTGTTGAGGAGTTTTTTTTTTTAGGCACCTACCCACTCACAAGTCCCCCCACTCGCTCCCCACTCCCCACCACTCCCCCCACCTTTTCCCCCACCACTCTCCCACTCACATGTGTTGGATGTTGGGCAGTTGAGTGAGGAAGGCGGGGAAGGGCCCCGAGGCAGCAGCGGAGGAGAAGGAGAAGAAGGTTAGTGATGAGAGCGCGGACCACGAGGGCGGGAAGGTGGCGGTTAGGGGCAGACGGTAGAGGGAACTGAGAGAGGAGTGGGGGAGGGGGAAAGGGGACTGGATTGAAGGAGGAGGGCAACAGGCGGGAAGAGAGATAAAGAGAGGGGTAGGAACGGGGAACATGCGTTTGAAGGAAGGGAAGGGACCCGAGGCAGCAGTGGAGGAGGAGAAGGAGAAGAAGGAGAGGGACACGAGGGCGGCCCACGAGGGGGGTGAGGCGGCCGTGACAGGCAGAAGGTAGAGGGAACTGGAGAGGAAGGGTTAGGAACAACGGAGGAATATAAGGAGGGACGAGGGGGTAAGGGGCAGTCACAAGCAGGTGGTAGAGGAAGCTGGATGGGAGGGGTTGGGAACAGTAGAGGGATATAAGGAGGGATACGGAAGGGTAAGGGGCAGTCACTCAAGCAGGTTGTAGAGGAAGTTGGGACGGTGAAATGAGGAAGGAGCGGAAAGTTCACGCAGCTTCCTCTACCACTGCTGAACAGAAACTTCACGCAGAACTTCACTGGTGGAGGTTTGCAGCAGCATGGGGTGGGAGTGTGTCTGGTGGGAGTGTGTCTGGTGGGAGTGTGTCTGGTGGGAGTGTGTCTGGTGGGAGTGTGTCTGGTGGGAGTGTGTCTGGTGGGAGTGTATCTGGTGGGCCTTACAGCACTTACAGCACTTGGAGGTTGGTGAGCCTGCTCCAGGCATCAGGAGGCTGGCCCTGAAAGTGGTTGTCGCCCAGGTCGCTGATTGGGAGGGAGAGGGAGAGAGGGGAGGGAGGGTGACGGGATGCAGATGAGTGAGTGAGTGAGTGAGTGGGTGGGTGATCGAGAGTGGAAAAAGAAGAAGAAGAAAAAGAACAGGCGGAAGAGCCCAACGTATGCACATGGACTCCAGCCGACTCACGCCAGCGCACACACATGCAAGTCAGCTCAAGTCAAGCCAAGTCAACCCACAGGGTCACAAGGTCTGTGAGCGTGCCAATCTCTTCGGGCAGCTGGCCAACAAATTCGTTCTGCCCGAGAACGAGTGAGGAGAGGCGAGAGAGGGCAGAAAGGCCCGAAGGGAGTGACCCAGCGATGCGATTCATATCCAGATGGCTGCAGAGAGAGGTGGGGAGGGGAAGTTGGCACAGGGGGGCGGCAGGAAAGGCAATGGGGAGGGCGCGATTCATATCCATGACATTCTTGTTGCATGGAGGGGGGCGAGCAAGTGATGCGGATGATGTCCCGATGGCTTGAGGGAGAGGGGGGTGACGGTGAAGGTTTTTGCAACGGGAGGGTTGCGAGCACAGAGGATTCTCAAAAGTCAATCCAACAGAGGAGGCAGGCAGTCACATCATTGGTTGCGTGCCTTTTGAGTCGACTCAAGAGGAGGCAGGCAGTCACATCATTGGTTGCGTGCCTGCATGCAGAGGATTGCATCACACTGGGTGAAGTAAACAAGCACGCAAGCAGGCAGTCAAACTAGTCCGGACACTGCTGAAATCTCTCGAGAGCACCCAACAAGCTGCTACTCTATGTAGTGTGGGCACTCTCAGCACTCTCAGGGTCGCAGCACTCGCAGGGTCGCAGCACTCTCAGGGTCGCAGCACTCTCAGGGTCGCAGCACTCTCAGGGTCGCAGCACTCTCAGGGTCGCAGCCTCTCAGGGTCGCAGCCTCTCAGGGTCGCAGCCTCTCAGGGTCGCAGCACTCTCAGGGTCGCAGCACTCTCAGGGTCGCAGCCTCTCAGGGTCGCAGCCTCTCAGGGTCGCAGCCTCTCAGGGTCGCAGCACTCTCAGGGTCGCAGCACTCTCAGGGTCGCAGCCTCTCAGGGTCGCAGCCTCTCAGGGTCGCAGCCTCTCAGGGTCGCAGCACTCTCAGGGTCGCAGCACTCTCAGGGTCGCAGCCTCTCAGGGTCGCAGCACTCTCAGGGTCGCAGCCTCTCAGGGTCGCAGCACTCTCAGGGTCGCAGCCTCTCAGGGTCGCAGCCTCTCAGGGTCGCAGCCTCTCAGGGTCGCAGCCTCTCAGGGTCGCAGCCTCTCAGGGTCGCAGCCTCTCAGGGTCGCAGCACTCTCAGGGTCGCAGCCTCTCAGGGTCGCAGCACTCTCAGGGTCGCAGCCTCTCAGGGTCGCAGCACTCTCAGGGTCGCAGCCTCTCAGGGTCGCAGCCTCTCAGGGTCGCAGCACTCTCAGGGTCGCAGCCTCTCAGGGTCGCAGCACTCTCAGGGTCGCAGCCTCTCAGGGTCGCAGCCTCTCAGGGTCGCAGCCTCTCAGGGTCGCAGCACTCTCAGGGTCGCAGCACTCTCAGGGTCGCAGCCTCTCAGGGTCGCAGCACTCTCAGGGTCGCAGCACTCTCAGGGTCGCAGCCTCTCAGGGTCGCAGCCTCTCAGGGTCGCAGCCTCTCAGGGTCGCAGCACTCTCAGGGTCGCAGCACTCTCAGGGTCGCAGCCTCTCAGGGTCGCAGCCTCTCAGGGTCGCAGCCTCTCAGGGTCGCAGCACTCTCAGGGTCGCAGCACTCTCAGGGTCGCAGCCTCTCAGGGTCGCAGCCTCTCAGGGTCGCAGCCTCTCAGGGTCGCAGCACTCTCAGGGTCGCAGCACTCTCAGGGTCGCAGCCTCTCAGGGTCGCAGCACTCTCAGGGTCGCAGCCTCTCAGGGTCGCAGCACTCTCAGGGTCGCAGCCTCTCAGGGTCGCAGCCTCTCAGGGTCGCAGCCTCTCAGGGTCGCAGCCTCTCAGGGTCGCAGCCTCTCAGGGTCGCAGCCTCTCAGGGTCGCAGCACTCTCAGGGTCGCAGCCTCTCAGGGTCGCAGCACTCTCAGGGTCGCAGCCTCTCAGGGTCGCAGCACTCTCAGGGTCGCAGCCTCTCAGGGTCGCAGCCTCTCAGGGTCGCAGCACTCTCAGGGTCGCAGCCTCTCAGGGTCGCAGCCTCTCAGGGTCGCAGCACTCTCAGGGTCGCAGCCTCTCAGGGTCGCAGCCTCTCAGGGTCGCAGCCTCTCAGGGTCGCAGCACTCTCAGGGTCGCAGCACTCTCAGGGTCGCAGCCTCTCAGGGTCGCAGCCTCTCAGGGTCGCAGCCTCTCAGGGTCGCAGCACTCTCAGGGTCGCAGCCTCTCAGGGTCGCAGCCTCTCAGGGTCGCAGCACTCTCAGGGTCGCAGCCTCTCAGGGTCGCAGCACTCTCAGGGTCGCAGCCTCTCAGGGTCGCAGCCTCTCAGGGTCGCAGCCTCTCAGGGTCGCAGCCTCTCAGGGTCGCAGCACTCTCAGGGTCGCAGCACTCTCAGGGTCGCAGCCTCTCAGGGTCGCAGCCTCTCAGGGTCGCAGCCTCTCAGGGTCGCAGCACTCTCAGGGTCGCAGCACTCTCAGGGTCGCAGCCTCTCAGGGTCGCAGCCTCTCAGGGTCGCAGCCTCTCAGGGTCGCAGCACTCTCAGGGTCGCAGCACTCTCAGGGTCGCAGCCTCTCAGGGTCGCAGCACTCTCAGGGTCGCAGCCTCTCAGGGTCGCAGCACTCTCAGGGTCGCAGCCTCTCAGGGTCGCAGCCTCTCAGGGTCGCAGCCTCTCAGGGTCGCAGCCTCTCAGGGTCGCAGCCTCTCAGGGTCGCAGCCTCTCAGGGTCGCAGCCTCTCAAGGTCGCAGCCTCTCAGGGTCGCAGCCTCTCAGGGTCGCAGCCTCTCAGGGTCGCAGCCTCTCAGGGTCGCAGCACTCTCAGGGTCGCAGCCTCTCAGGGTCGCAGCACTCTCAGGGTCGCAGCCTCTCAGGGTCGCAGCCTCTCAGGGTCGCAGCCTCTCAGGGTCGCAGCCTCTCAGGGTCGCAGCACTCTCAGGGTCGCAGCCTCTCAGGGTCGCAGCCTCTCAGGGTCGCAGCCTCTCAGGGTCGCAGCACTCTCAGGGTCGCAGCACTCTCAGGGTCGCAGCCTCTCAGGGTCGCAGCCTCTCAGGGTCGCAGCCTCTCAGGGTCGCAGCACTCTCAGGGTCGCAGCCTCTCAGGGTCGCAGCCTCTCAGGGTCGCAGCACTCTCAGGGTCGCAGCCTCTCAGGGTCGCAGAACTCTCAGGGTCGCAGCCTCTCAGGGTCGCAGCCTCTCAGGGTCGCAGCCTCTCAGGGTCGCAGCCTCTCAGGGTCGCAGCACTCTCAGGGTCGCAGCACTCTCAGGGTCGCAGCCTCTCAGGGTCGCAGCCTCTCAGGGTCGCAGCCTCTCAGGGTCGCAGCACTCTCAGGGTCGCAGCACTCTCAGGGTCGCAGCCTCTCAGGGTCGCAGCCTCTCAGGGTCGCAGCCTCTCAGGGTCGCAGCACTCTCAGGGTCGCAGCACTCTCAGGGTCGCAGCCTCTCAGGGTCGCAGCACTCTCAGGGTCGCAGCCTCTCAGGGTCGCAGCACTCTCAGGGTCGCAGCCTCTCAGGGTCGCAGCCTCTCAGGGTCGCAGCCTCTCAGGGTCGCAGCCTCTCAGGGTCGCAGCCTCTCAGGGTCGCAGCCTCTCAGGGTCGCAGCCTCGCAAGGTCGCAGCCTCTCAGGGTCGCAGCCTCTCAGGGTCGCAGCCTCTCAGGGTCGCAGCCTCTCAGGGTCGCAGCACTCTCAGGGTCGCAGCCTCTCAGGGTCGCAGCACTCTCAGGGTCGCAGCCTCTCAGGGTCGCAGCCTCTCAGGGTCGCAGCCTCTCAGGGTCGCAGCCTCTCAGGGTCGCAGCCTCTCAGGGTCGCAGCCTCTCAGGGTCGCAGCCTCTCAGGGTCGCAGCCTCTCAGGGTCGCAGCCTCTCAGGGTCGCAGCCTCTCAGGTCGCAGCCTCTCAGGGTCGCAGCCTCTCAGGGTCGCAGCCTCTCAGGGTCGCAGCCTCTCAGGGTCGCAGCACTCTCAGGGTCGCAGCCTCTCAGGGTCGCAGCACTCTCAGGGTCGCAGCCTCTCAGGGTCGCAGCCTCTCAGGGTCGCAGCCTCTCAGGGTCGCAGCCTCTCAGGGTCGCAGCACTCTCAGGGTCGCAGCCTCTCAGGGTCGCAGCCTCTCAGGGTCGCAGCCTCTCAGGGTCGCAGCACTCTCAGGGTCGCAGCACTCTCAGGGTCGCAGCCTCTCAGGGTCGCAGCCTCTCAGGGTCGCAGCCTCTCAGGGTCGCAGCACTCTCAGGGTCGCAGCCTCTCAGGGTCGCAGCCTCTCAGGGTCGCAGCACTCTCAGGGTCGCAGCCTCTCAGGGTCGCAGCACTCTCAGGGTCGCAGCCTCTCAGGGTCGCAGCACTCTCAGGGTCGCAGCACTCTCAGGGTCGCAGCCTCTCAGGGTCGCAGCACTCTCAGGGTCGCAGCCTCTCAGGGTCGCAGCACTCTCAGGGTCGCAGCCTCTCAGGGTCGCAGCCTCTCAGGGTCGCAGCCTCTCAGGGTCGCAGCCTCTCAGGGTCGCAGCCTCTCAGGGTCGCAGCCTCTCAGGGTCGCAGCCTCTCAGGGTCGCAGCCTCTCAGGGTCGCAGCCTCTCAGGGTCGCAGCCTCTCAGGGTCGCAGCCTCTCAGGGTCGCAGCCTCTCAGGGTCGCAGCCTCTCAGGGTCGCAGCACTCTCAGGGTCGCAGCCTCTCAGGGTCGCAGCCTCTCAGGGTCGCAGCCTCTCAGGGTCGCAGCCTCTCAGGGTCGCAGCCTCTCAGGGTCGCAGCCTCTCAGGGTCGCAGCCTCTCAGGGTCGCAGCCTCTCAGGGTCGCAGCCTCTCAGGGTCGCAGCCTCTCAAGGTCGCAGCCTCTCAGGGTCGCAGCCTCTCAGGGTCGCAGCCTCTCAGGGTCGCAGCCTCTCAGGGTCGCAGCACTCTCAGGGTCGCAGCCTCTCAGGGTCGCAGCACTCTCAGGGTCGCAGCCTCTCAGGGTCGCAGCCTCTCAGGGTCGCAGCCTCTCAGGGTCGCAGCCTCTCAGGGTCGCAGCACTCTCAGGGTCGCAGCCTCTCAGGGTCGCAGCCTCTCAGGGTCGCAGCCTCTCAGGGTCGCAGCACTCTCAGGGTCGCAGCACTCTCAGGGTCGCAGCCTCTCAGGGTCGCAGCCTCTCAGGGTCGCAGCCTCTCAGGGTCGCAGCACTCTCAGGGTCGCAGCCTCTCAGGGTCGCAGCCTCTCAGGGTCGCAGCACTCTCAGGGTCGCAGCCTCTCAGGGTCGCAGCACTCTCAGGGTCGCAGCCTCTCAGGGTCGCAGCCTCTCAGGGTCGCAGCCTCTCAGGGTCGCAGCCTCTCAGGGTCGCAGCACTCTCAGGGTCGCAGCACTCTCAGGGTCGCAGCCTCTCAGGGTCGCAGCCTCTCAGGGTCGCAGCCTCTCAGGGTCGCAGCACTCTCAGGGTCGCAGCACTCTCAGGGTCGCAGCCTCTCAGGGTCGCAGCCTCTCAGGGTCGCAGCCTCTCAGGGTCGCAGCACTCTCAGGGTCGCAGCACTCTCAGGGTCGCAGCCTCTCAGGGTCGCAGCACTCTCAGGGTCGCAGCCTCTCAGGGTCGCAGCACTCTCAGGGTCGCAGCCTCTCAGGGTCGCAGCCTCTCAGGGTCGCAGCCTCTCAGGGTCGCAGCCTCTCAGGGTCGCAGCCTCTCAGGGTCGCAGCCTCTCAGGGTCGCAGCCTCTCAGGGTCGCAGCCTCTCAGGGTCGCAGCCTCTCAGGGTCGCAGCCTCTCAGGGTCGCAGCCTCTCAGGGTCGCAGCCTCTCAGGGTCGCAGCCTCTCAGGGTCGCAGCCTCTCAGGGTCGCAGCCTCTCAGGGTCGCAGCCTCTCAGGGTCGCAGCCTCTCAGGGTCGCAGCCTCTCAGGGTCGCAGCCTCTCAGGGTCGCAGCCTCTCAGGGACCCCTCTCTCAGGGTCACAGGGTCTCAAGGGCAGTCATGGCTGTGACGGCTGCAGGCAGGGAGTTGATGCGGTTGAACGTGAGGTTGCTGCACGTGTGGGCGGATTCAGAACAGAGAGGGAGGGGAAAGGGGCGGAGTTGGAGAGAGGGGGGGGGTTGGGGAACTGGAAGGAGGGGCGGAACGAATGGCAAAAGCGTAAGCCCAGCCAAGGTGGTTTCAAAGAAATTCCCTTACAGGTGCTTGAGGTCAGGAAGCAGGGCAGCAGCGGAGGGGGCAGCAGCACCAGCCACCTCATTGCCACTCAAGTCCACCCGCTCCAATCGCTGCAGCGCCGTCAACCTCCCCCACGGGATCTCCCCCCTCAGCGGCCCCACCACCCCCGCTGCTACAGCCGCTGCTACTGCCTGCTGGCTCGCGCCCCGCGCGGTCAGCTGCTGCGCTACAGCCGTAGGAGTGGCTCCCCTGGCCCAGGAGGCGTTGAGGGATGCCAAGAGAGGGTTGCTCATGTCGCTGGTGGGGGGGATGGAGGGGAGGGGAGTCGAAAGGGGAAGATTACCAGGAAAGGGGGAAAAGAAGCCGCACACGTGCCTTGTTATCGCCCTGTCACTCCACCCACCACCCCCGCTGCTACAGCCGCCGCTACAGCCTGCTGGCTGGCGCCCCGGGCGGTGAGCTTCTGCGCTACAGCCGCTGGCGTGGCTCCCCTGGCCCAGGACGCGTTGAGGGATGCCAAGAAAGGGTTGCTCAAGTCGCTGGTGGGGTGGGATGGGGGAAAAGGGAGGGCGTGTGGGGGTGTGGGCGGTCAGCCGCTGCTGTTGCACCCCTGGCCCATGAGGCGTTGAGGGAGGCTACGAGGGAGTTGCTCATGTCGCTGGTGGGAAGAGGGGGGAGAGAGTGTAGGATAACGAGCGGGAATCAGGCTCATCTATTCCATCTCACGCCTCAGGCCCATGAGGCGTTGAGGCATGCCAAGAGAGGGTTGGCCATGTCGCTGAGAGGGGGAGGGGAGAGAGACGGGTGGTGGGGGTGTGGAAGAGAGGAGGGGAGAAGGGGGGAAGCGAGGCTCATCCGTTGCATGTGACGCCCATGCCCCACGAAGAGAGGAGGGGAGGAGCGATTCTCATCCCTTGCATGTGACGCCCATGCCCCCACGACATGCTGAGGGACGCTGAGAGGGGGTTGCTTGCTCATGTCGCTAGTGGGGAGAGGCGAGAGGGGAGAGAACGTGTGGGGGAACGGGGGGAAATTAGGCTTAGCCTATCCAAGAGGCGTTGAGGGACGCCCATGCCCCACGACATGCTGAGAGGGTGGCTCAAGTGAAGGGACGGGGGCGACGAGGGGATGAGGGGGGGAAGGGATGACAAGTGGGAGAGAAGAAAGGAAGCGGGACAAGAAGGGAAGGCCCTCGAGGAGAAGTGGGAAGAATGGATGAAGCCAGAGTGCTGCAGCATGCGCCCTACCTTACCCCCCTGACAAGCCACTGCCACTCGCGCTTTCAGCCCACTCAATCCACCCTACCGGAACCAACAGCACATCGTCTCACTCAACCCCACTCCACCCCACTCCACCCTAAGTTACCGCACATCACCGCACGGAGTTCCACTTCACCACTCACATGGCAACGACGCGGCCTGAGGAGTCGCAGGTCACAAACTGCCACGTGTCAGCGCAGGGCTGCGACAGCTGGCCCTGGCGGTTGGGCGAGGGGCCGTCAGACCACCTCCCCGCCAGGGAAAAGGCAGGGTGGTCCCCCATTGCTTGCTTCAGCGCCAGCAGCGCGCTCCCTGGGGGGGGAGGGGGGGGGGGGAAGGGGGGCACGGGGAGGGGGAAGGGGGAGGCGGTTGGGCGAGGGGCCGTCAGACCACCTCCCCGCCAGGGAGAAGGCGGGATGGTCCCCCATTGCCTGCTTTAGCGCCAGCAGCGCACTCGCTGGGAGGGGGAGGGGGAGGGGGAGGGGGAGGGGGAGGGGGAGGGGGAGGGGGAGGTGAAGAAGGGTGGAGACGGGAAGGGCGAGGGAGAGGTGGAGAAGGGAGGGGAGGGGAAGGTCGAGGAGGGCGGGGGGGTGGGGAAGGCGGGGGGGTGGGGGAAGGCGAGGGTGAGGCTCATTCTAGATCTAAACGCTTCAAATCTTGCTCCCTCATCCCTCTCCTCCTCCACTCACCCTCCTCTCCTCCTCCACTCACTCTCCTCTCCCTCCGCCACTCACTCTCGGCCGATATTATTTCGTCCGACGCGGCCGGCTCCTGCAGAACGCGCCGACCCGAACCGCCATGTGCGGCGTCAAGTGCGGCGGCGGCGGCGGCGACGGGAAACGGCGGCAGCAGCGTCGCGAGGAGCAGGAGGGCGCAAAACGGGACGAGACGCGCCAGTGGCGGCGAGCGAGACGACATGGATGACGTCATCGCGATTGTAGCAGGGACGGCCACGTGGACAGCCACGTGGACGAAGCTACGAGCGCTGCTAGTGATTGTGAGGCAACGGCTACAACGCCCCGTGCCCTAGACCGCTGCGCGAATCAAGTGGTTAATCAGAGGTCGCGCGGTGCGGTTCCTATCCCTGTTGAGTCCGGGGGTGCGTTCTTAACCTCGTGTGTGAGTCCGCAGACGTCACAACAGCAGTTTGGGATACCGGCTACGCGGTAGACGCTCGTGACGGCTGGAACTGGCCAGTATGCGACTGGAAACGGGAGATTCGGTACCGGCTACGCGACTAGGAAAAAAGAGGTTGGGTACCCGCTACGCAACAAGAAATCTGCTAACGGCTACGCGACTGGAACAATTAATCCGCGAACGTTAAGCCGAATGGAATGAGAAAATAGCGAATGTTTACGGGATTGCAATGGTTGTTTGCTAGCGTACGAGGCTGAAAAGGCATGCATAATCGAATATGGAGGCAAAGACCATGAGAAACACAACATCAAGTAGCAAGACTGTCAAGCACGGAAGCCCATTGGATTCTTTTGCGAAGTGCTTCTGGATGCACATCATTCATAGTGCTAGGGAGCGCAGCGGAGAGGCAGCCATGAATCTGGCAGTTCTCGTGGTATTTATCGGTGCGAGGGAGTTTGTTGTGGCGCGTTGGCGCTGCTGCAGTAACGGCATCGAGAGGGGTCGAAGAAACGACAATCGTCTGCTAGCTTGGTCGAATCGAGGTTGGCGAATCGTTGAGGGAGGTAGTTGGCGAAAGATTGAGGGATGTGCGTAGTTGTCGAAAAGTCGAGGTTTGTGGTTGGCGAAAGGCTGGGTCGTGTTGTTGGCGAAGCGTTGAGGCGAAGCTGGAGGTTGGGTTGGTTTGGATGCGGCTTGGGTAGCTTGGGTAGCTTGGTTTGGCAGTTCCAGGCTGACTGCGGCAGTTGGTGGTGCTGGCAAACGGGAAGGGATAACCAAAGGCCCTGCCCTCGGGTGTTCAGTTCCTTTATTGTATAATTGCAATTGTACATATCACTACCTCCCTACTATCTAGGGCATGTTGTATTCCTTCGGGAGGGAAATATATGTGTTCCCCATTTTTAGTCAACAGTACATGTTTTTCTGTTTACAGGAAAACTCAAGCCATTTCGTCACATCCAAGAGCAAGCTTACTGCTTGGGATAAAACAAGTGAAGAGAGGAGTGGGGGGGGGGAAGGGGGGGGTGGATTTTCATGAATGGTATGAGAAGTGTGCAGAGAGCCACTCTGCAATGGCGGATGGACTGGATGGGAGGCTATGGGGTTGTATGGGTGATCTAAGCGTTGCTTGTGTTCCAGCTCCTCACTGTATTAATGGGGGGGGAGGAAGGAACAACAGTTAACACGATAGGATGACAAAGAAGCAAGATTGCAATACAACCTGGCAATTAGCAAGTTAGCTTCCATCACTAGACAATGTTGTCTTCCCAACGCCGCAAGTCGACGGCGTGCCAACGCAGGTAGAAACCAACATTTCACCACTACAATACGGCGGCTTCCCAGCGTCGCACAATGGCGGCTTGCCAGCATTGCAGGAGCGCGGCTTGACAGCATCGCAACCGCATGTGATCATGAGTGTTCACATGCGTCCTTACAAGTAGGTGCGGATAGGTTGCGCGCATTTCGAACACCGTCACGCACCTTGCACGGATGCCAGTTCATCCAGAACGTGATGCTCGATTCGAAGGTTGACTTCGCCAAAGCCACCTATGGCGAAGTCCGCACACCCCCGCAGAACTTTGTCGACCATAAAATGCCACCGAGTCGGCCCCGGCTTGACAGTCGGCGCTGCTCGCGGGTCGGCGGATTGTTTCGTCGACCGCCAAGTCGTGCCGCCGATCTCCGACTTCACTTTGTCGGCCAACATCTTGTTGGCTTCGCCGTTCGTTGAAGTCGGCGTCAGAATGGTCGGCTTTTCCAACGTTAGTTACCCGCCTAAGTCGGCTCCGTCCAAGTCGTCCAAGCCCAGCCGACTGCACACATAGCACGCCAGACAACGAAGTCGACTTCGCCCAAGCGAGTGCGGGACCTCTTCTCACCAACATGGGCTACGGCCTCCCTTGTTGATGGGAATGCGAACGAGAGGTGCAGCCGGCTGCGGTCGACGTCGACTCGGACGAGCAAGTCGACAGACTTGATCGAATTGCATGGGATCACTGCAAAACTACTGGCGAGGGAAGTCGACGGCCGGCTTCGACTGGTGTGGTCGACGATGGGGTTTATCTGTCAAATGATATATATAGGTGATACATATTGGTAGGCTGTAGTGGGGTAGATGTTATAGGGGATAACCCCTTAGGGTTTTCCTACTTGTAAAATTTCTCTCGATAGTCAACTCACCTTGCCTAGCTATCTCAACATGGCATCTAGAGCAATGGTCCTAAGGACCTAAGATTGGGGCCCACCTACTCATGAGTTACTTTCCCTACAGCTATACCTACCTTACCTGCTGCCCGCGCGCGCCTCGGCTGCATGCGCGCGTGCATTTTTTTTTAGCGCGCCCCGCTGCCTTAGCCGCCCGCGTGCTCGCTGCTGTCGCGCGCAGCTCGTCACCGCGCGCAGCCCGCCGCCACGTGCGACCCGCCGCCGCGTGCAGCCAGTAGCCACGCGCAGCCCGCAGCCACGCGCAGCCCGTCGCCGCGCGCAGCCCGCAGCCGCACGCAGCCCGTCGCCGCGCGCAGCCCGCAGCCGCACGCAGCCCGTCGCCGCGCACAGCCAGCTGCCACGCACAGCCCGCAGCCGCGCGCAGCCCGCTGCCGCGCGCAGCCCGCAGCAGCGCGTGCCCTGCCCTGCCTGTGCGCCACTGCCTCGACCTGAGCGCTTAGCCGCCCGTGAGTCGTGCGCTTACCTGCCTTACGCGCGGCCTGTCACAAAACTGCGTGCTTCCTTACCTGCTACAGTTGCCTGCTGCCTGAGCCTGCTGCCTGAACCTGCAGTCTTTGCCTGCTGCCTGAGCCTGCTGCCTGAGCCTGCTGCCTGAGCCTGCTGCCTGAGCCTGCTGCCTGAGCCTGCTGCCTGAGCCTGCTACCTGAGCCTGCTGCCTGAGCCTGCTGCCTGAGCCTGCTACTTTTGCCTGCGCTACAACCATGGCGACCCTTACTGTTCTCGCCTTTGAGCCTGACGGCCGCCCCATCGAGTTTGACACCTGGCTTAGTGACCTGCGCCTTTACCTTATGACTGACGTCGCAGACGGAGTGTCCCTGCTAGCCTATGTGACCGGCACTGTCCCTACTCCTGCTGAGACTGCTCCTGCCCCTGAACGAGCACAGTGGGAGCTCCGCGATGCTGTCGCGCGCCTTGTTATTCGCAATCACCTACCGATCTCTGAGCGCGCGCATTTCAACCAGCTTAAGACTGCTAAGACGCTGTATGATGCTGTCGTTGCCCGCTATTCCGCCCCGACCACAGCCACCGTTGGTAGTCTCATCCTGCCTTACCTGTTCCCAGACTTAGCCTCGTTTCACACTGCTGCCGACCTTATCACTCACCTCCGCACTAGTGACGCCCGCTTTCGAGCCGCTCTTACCAAAGAGTTCCTCGCCACGAACACCCCCCCGCTGTACTTCACCCTCTACATCCTCGTCACCCGCCTCCCTGACACTCTTCGCTCTGTCAGGGATTACTTCCTTGCCAAGGATCCTCCAACTATCACTCTGGACGACTTCGAGCAGCAGCTGGTCGCAGCAGAGAAGAACATCCTCGCTGTCGGTGCTGCTCGTGGCACTCCCCGCACTCCCCTCTTTGAGGGGTGCTCCCCCTCCCCTCTTGACCCCTCCTACGCCTCTGCTGCTACTGCTGTTGACTTCCTCGGTGCGGAGAAGGTCGCAGCGGCTTCCGCTCCTGGTGGGAAGCGTGGTGGTGGCAGGGGCGGCAAGGGTGGCAGGGGTGGCGGAGGTGGCGGTGGAGGGAGCGGTGGTGGAGGCGGCGGGGGTGGTGGAGGTGGTGGGGGTGGCCGTGGGGGTGGAGGCGGTGGGTGGGGTGGCGGCAGGACCGGGAGCGGTGGAGGCGGCGGCGGCGGTGGTGGGGGAGGAGGCAGCGGCAGTGGCGGTGGAGGTGGGAGTGGGGGTGGATCTGGCCAGAAGGGTGGCCAGCAGCAGCAGCAGCAGCAACAGCCACAGCAGCAGCAGCAGCTTCCTCCCCTCACCTCCCAGCAGCTCAATGACTGGTATGCTGGGCGTGGGGCGTCTCGGGGTTCTGACCGCTGCCCCTATGTCATTCGTACTGGCCCCCGCAAGGGTCGCCCCTGCAACGGTTTTCACACTGAGTATCGTTGTTTTGCTAGGCTTAGTGACGCCTGGCGTACTAAGTATCCTGATGCTACTGAGTTCCCCAACTGGGCAGAGCTGCTTAGGCGTGATGTGCCTATCTTTGATCTGGACTATGATGTTATTCTTGCTGCCATGTATGCATTGACTATTAGTGCTGAGGGTGACTGCTACTTGTGTGTGCCGCCTGACCCCGGTATAAGGACTGCAGCCCTAGGTGCTAGTGAGTCTGCTCCCCTTGGTACTGAGTCGACTCAGGCCTTGCACACGTTTACACTTGACTCTGGTGCTTCCCGCTGTTTCTTTCGTGATAGCACCACCGTCACTCCGCTCCCTGCACCTGTCCCTGTCTCCCTGGCTGACCCCTCTGGGGGCCCAGTGCTTGCACGCGGCACGACTGTGCTCCCGTGCCCGGCGGTCCCGTCTGGTGAGCTGTCAGGTCTCCTCGTTCCCTCGTTCTCTACGAACCTGGTGAGCAACGCCGTCCTCCAGGATCACTGGGTTGACACCTGGACTCCTGGAGGGCAGCGTGTGGCGATCTGTACGTGCTCCAAGACTGGCCGCCACCTGGCCACGTTCACTCGTGAGCCGGGGTCCAGTCTGTACACCCTCACCACTGTTTCACGCTCCGCTCCTTTGTCTCCACAGCTGTACGCGTCTGCTCAGGTAGCTACCCAG